GATGTAATGTATGGGGATTAACATAAGAATAAAAAAAAATATGTAAAAAAAAAAAAAAAGAATATACGTGTCATTATGTAAAGTTAAAGTTGGAAAATCAGGTAAGAAAGGCCTCAAGACCATTCCCTCAACCCCCACCTTAAAAACTGTTCCTGTTCAATGAATCATGGAACACTACATCAAAAACAAATGAAACCTGTTCCTGTTCCTGTTTCTTTGCAGTGAAGTCATATCTACAACTTGGGATTGGACTATGCGATGCACAAAAATTAAGCAAACTTTTTGGCCTGCCTTTATTCTGAGCTATTCAGACTAAACAAAGGGGCTCTCTTTCTCTTTTTTAAGATTTTATTTATTTGAAAGAGAGTGAGAGCACGAAAAGGGGGGTGGGGTGGGGACAGAGGGCAGAGGGAGAAGCAGACTCCCCGCTGACCAGGGAGCCTGACACAGGGCTCGATCCCAGGACCCCAGGATCATTACCTGATCTGAAGGCAGACGTTTAACCAACTAAGCCACCCAGGTGCCCCAAAAGAACTCTCTCCAAAGAGGTCTGGGGGCGAAGTCTTTTTTTTTTTTTTTAAGATTTTATTTATTTATCTGAGAGAGAGAGAGCATGAGCGCAGGGGAGGGGCAGAGAGAGAGGAAGAAGCAGCTGAGCAGGGAGCCTGATGCGGGCTCAATCCCAGGACCCTGGGATCATGACCTGAACCAAAGCCAGACGCTTAACCACCTGAGCCACCCAGGTACCCTGGTTTGGGGCAAAGTCTTAATGAGCAATAAAGTATTTGTTTGCCTTGCTCTGTTCTTCATGCATATTCTCCCACAGACCATGTAAGATATGGTATTTGAGTCTTCCTGGGCACCACGACCAGTACCACCATAAGAGAAGTTCAAATTCACCATGATTACATTGAGACATAATACGCAAATCACATTAGGACTCATTTCATGCTTTTTCATAATCGCTGAGAGAAAATGCAGGTGGACTGGAGTGCAGATACATGGAGTCAAACAAAAAACACGACCTGGCTCTTACCTCCAGCTGCCGAATTGCTGTTTCTCTCTCTTTAATAAGTTCCAGATCCTGTTCGGTGATGGCCACCTCATCCTCCTGGCTCTGCATCTGGTTCCACTCCTCATGGCTGCAAGGCAACAAGCACACTAGCTGATTCTCCCTCTCTAAGGTGTGCATGAGACACTCACATTACTACTAGCGGAGCCTAGCCAAGGACATGACCGGGCTCCAACGCCTCCGGGATCGATAACAAAGTCCTTGAGGACCACATTCTTCGTATCTGGAGGCAAAGAGCTGCTTTTACCAAGAAAACAAAGTCTCAGCTTCCCTGGGCAAAACTGAGATGAAGCAGGATTATGAGGGATGGGACTCCTTGCTGTTTTCCAGTTAGAGGTGCACCTACAATCTTGCTAGGGCTTGCTAGACAAGGAAAGCAGAGAGAGACTTGAAGTCAGTGAAGGACACTGGCCCATCCTCTTCTAGAGCACTCTCAGAGTATAAGCTGTGTTGGTCTCTTGGGTACTAAATGGGTGGAGGAGAGCAGGCTAAGTGACCTGTCAATGCTTCTCCAATTAGTCTAACAGAATCACATCTTCTGGTTTTCAGAACATTCCTTGAGATTATACTTTGGGTTAAATGCCTCTTTTTAAAAAAATATTTTTTAAGGTTTTTTATTTATTCATTTGAGAGAGAAAGTGAGACCACGAGAAGGGGGTGGGTTAGAGGGAGAGGGAGAAACAGACTTCCCACTGAGCAGGGAGCCCAACATGGGGCTCGATCCCAGGACCCCGGGATCACGACCTGAGCCAAAGGCAGACACCTAACCACCTGAGCCACCCAGGAGCCAGTGAGTTAAATGCCTCTTAAGAGAAAACTAAAATAAAAAGATAGTGAAATGTTATAACTCTTCTTTTCAGGTACCATATTTAGAAGAAAGGCATACTACATATGATGCTAGACATAAAACACTTCAAAAATTCCAACAGTATGCATAAATCAGACATCATCTCCACAGTATTTAGTTTCACCCCACACTGGAGATACAAAAAGGAGTAAGAGCCCACGAGGCACCCCTCTGAGGCGCTCACAGTATAGTGGGAAGAGAGAGATTCATACCTACGATAGAGCACTTTAAGTTCTAAATTAATAACACCAACACATTTTTTTTTAAAGATTTTTATTTATTTATTTGACAAAGAGAGACACATCAAGAGAGGGAACATAAGCAGGGGGAGTGGAGGAGGGAGAAGCAGGCTTCCTGCACAGCAGGGAGCCCGAAGCAGGGCTCGATCCCAGGACCCTGGGATCGTGACCGGAGCTGAAGGGAGACGCCTAATGACTGAGCCACCCAGGCGCCCCACCAACACATTTCTATGGAATTAGTTAATTCAGTCTGGAGAAATTAAGAAAGAAGATGTCTTTCAGATGCAAACTGTTTTGCTTTTTCTTGTACTACTCCTAAAAGAATGAGTTGCCTCCATTTTACAGATGGGTAAACGGAGACCCAAGAACTTTGAAAAAATTACATCTGAATTAGAGGTAACATCCTAATCTGTAGATTCATGGGTTCGTACTTATTCCTAGCGAGCCAGGCTCTCTCCCCAACACAAACATATCAGAGATTTCTCTGGCTCTTTTATTCACCTTCAAATTGTTTCTTCCCTAATTCAAAGATCTTGGAAAAGCCCAAGGTTTTGACTTTTTTATTTTATTTGGTGGATTATAAGTCACCCACCCCAGGTCTTCCTTTATTTTTCCTTCTTCTCCACACTGATTTTTAAAATTAGAAGCAAAGGGACGCCTGGGTGGCTCAGTCGGTTAAGCGTCTGCCTTCAGCTCAGGTCATGATCTCAGGATCCTGGGATCGAGTGCTACATCAGGCTCCCTGCTTAGTGGGGAGCCTGCTTCCCCCTCTGCCTTCTGCACCCTCTGCTTGTACTCTCTCTGACAAATAAATAAAATCTTAAAAGAAAAAAAATTAGAAGCAGAAAGTATAGAATCCATCTCAACTAGCCAGCAGGTTGTACGGATAATTCCTTACCCATCAAATGAGACGAGCTGCTCCTCTCTTTGCCTCTCCTCCGCCTAGAAAGCAGATGGCATTATTGCTGCTGTTATCCAGAAACATGTCACAGACAGACACACAAAACAATGGCTTCCTTTCGCTACAGTATAAAGCAACATCCCTTGGCTCCAACAGGATCTGTAAGATGACACAGGGCTCTGGCAATCTGTATCAACTAGAAAATGGGTGTGAAGTAGTTGAAAGCAAATCTGGGCTCAGAATGGTAACCTTACTAAATAGGATGGAGGGAACACGGGTTGGAGAGAGCAGTAAACAACAGGGAGGCAGAATAAGGGAAAGAGTTGAAACTTGCAGGGAAACAAATTTTCAGAACATGTAAAGATTTAAAAAAATGGACATTTATGGCATATCAGGCACTAAAGTGGCAGACTCATTTCAAAGATCAGTCTAATGCATGTATTAAAAAAAGTTAAGAAAAAATGTTAAAAGAGCAATCTATTCCCATTAAAAAAGAAGTCTTTCCCTTTTTCTAATAGCAGTAATTAAAAGAACAAGGAAAATGAAGAAAATTTCAAGATTCTACCCACCCAGAGGAACACTGTGAGGTTTTTTGTTTTTGTTTTTGTTTTACTTTTTCCCCAAATCAAGAAACAAAAGTTAGTACCCTCAAGCCTACCTCTATGCCCTTCTCCAATTACAACGCCCCCTCCCTCGCCCTTAAAGTAACTACTATCCTGACTTTACAATGATCATTTTCTTGTATTTTCACTACAGTGATATGTATCCTTATTTAATATCATTTTACCTGCTTCTGAACTTCACATGAATGGAATTATACTGTTTGTATTCTTCCATGCTTTGATTGGATCTCGCCAGATTGTGCCAGATCCATCCCTGATGCTGAATGTAACTGTGGTTCATTTATTTTCTTCGCTGTATGATACTACAGTATGCAAATATACCATAATGCATTTACCTATTCTACTACCGATGGACATTCAGATGTGTCCAACTTTTGACTACTACAAATAATGCTGCTATAAACATTCTTATACATACATCCTGACATAAACATTTACAGTTTTCTCTAATATATATCAATAGATGCCATTCATACAAATAAAAGCTCATTGGGGTCCCTAATAATTTTTAAGTGTTAACAGGGTCCTGAGATCAGAAAGTCTGAGAAACTACTGTTCTATTGGGTTGTATCTTTTTCATACTGACTCATGGGAATTTTTTTTATGTTCTATATATATTCTGGTTACTAGTTTCTTTGTATGTTCTATATATATTCTGGTTACTAGTTCCTTGTCAATTATACATATAGCAGTATCTTCTCCCTGTTTGTAGTCTGTCTTTTCACGTATTTACCACTTTCTTTGCTCTTCATTCTGTTCTGCTTTTCAGACTTCCCATATGGGATCACCTTCCTTCTGCCTGAAGTTCATTTTCTAGAATATTCTTAAGTAAGGTGTCCTGAGAACAAACTCACTTTTGACTGAAAATGTCTTTAATTCTCATTCTGTATATCTTCTTTCACTGGGTTTAGATTCCTAGGTAGGCAGTTACTGTCCTTTAGAACATTAAAGATAGTCCTCAACTGGCTTCCACTGTTGCTGTTGAGAAGTCAACTGCCAATCCAACTATTGCCTCTCTGAAGGTATTCTATTGTTTCCCTGGCTATTTTTATGATTTTCTCTTTGTCTTTGGTGTTCTGAAGTTTCTCTCTGATGTATTTAGATGAGAGTCTTTTATTTATTCTTTTTGGGATTTGTTGGGCTTCTTGAAACTGCAGATTAGTGTCTCTCTTAAGTTCTAAAACATTACCAGCCATTATCTCTTCAAATATCACCTCTGTTCTATGTTTGCTCCACTCTTATTCTGAAACTCCAATTAAAACTACGTCATATCCTTTCTCTTTATTCTCCATTTCTCATACTCTTTCTTCCTATTTAACTTCTTAACCCCCGTCCTACATGCTGATACATAATATCATGAGATAGATAATATCTTCTATTTTCTAGTTAAATCATCTATCCATTAAGTTTTTAGTTTCCATATTATATTTTTCAATTCTAGAAAGTATTTTGACCCTTTTCCAAAGTTTTTTGTAGTTTCCTGCTTCCTGCAGATGTTTTCAAGATTTTCTTTAAATACAATAAGGACAGTTGTCATATAATTCTAATACATGAAGTCTCTGTAGGTCCATTTTACCTCATTGTTGTTTCTATTAGTTCTTGTTTAGAGTTATTTGTTTCTTTGTGTACTTGGGTATTTTTAACCCTGTCCTGCTCACAACACTTCAAAAATTGTTTGAGGGTATTCTTTCAGGGCTAGGATAAAGGTGTCTAACCAGAGAGGATTTGTATTTGCTTCTGCCTGGTACCTAGGTACTCTACCAGTCCAGAACTACTTGAAGCTTGAGGCTTTCGGATCATTCATGTAGTATAAATTTGGGCAGTAAATTTGCCTCAAGGTTCCTCTGTGGTACAAGTTATTGCCTGGATTTCCCCTCTCTCCTGCTGTCCTCCACCACTTGCTCAGTTCAGTGCTAATGCAATCTTTTTGTAGGAAAGAAGGGCTTACTTCTGGTTTACCCATACCTGAAGGATACAGCCTTTTGGGGTCCAGTTTAATTGGAGGAGCACCTTCTTTTAGATTTTCCACCTTGTCTGGACTCTGAGCTTTTCTTCCTCCTCATGCCACATAGACATCAAAACTAAAGTTCAAGTTTGCCCTCAGTAAATGTACTCCATGCAAAAGCAGTTTCAGTGCTCAGCTTACCTCTCTGTGGGTTCTCATCTTCTCTTAGATTTTGACCTTAATATTTTCATGGCCATTTTATATTTTTGAGAAGTTGGGTTGTTAAAATTTAGTATTTGGGGGCGCCTGGGTGGCTCAAATGGTTAAGCGTCTGCCTTCGGCTCAGGTCATGATCCCAGTGTCCTGGGATCGAGTCCCGCATCGGGCTCCCTGCTCCTTGGGAGCCTGCTTCTCCCTCTGCCTCTCTCTCTCTCTCTGTCTCTCATGAATAAATAAATAAAATCTTTAAAAAAAAAAAAATTTAGTATTTGTTAATTTATTTCACAGAGAGGTCTAGTGAAAATAACCTAGCCCTGCTATATTCTAGGATATTGATTCATTGTTTCTTTTCTTAAGTTTTTAATGTAAGACAAATAAAATAAAATAAAAAATCACACACAATTCTGTCACTTTTTCAAATCTTTGTGCATATTCCTTTCTAGTGTTAGACCACAGGCATACATATTTTTTTAATTTACTTTTATTAAAAAAAATTTTTTTTTTAAGTAGGCTGCTCACCCAACATGGGGCTTGAACTTACAACCCTGAGAGCGAGAATCACATGCTCTACCAACTGAGCCAGCCAGGCACCCTGCATACGTAATTTTTATATGGATTGTACCAATCTGGCATTTTCACAACAGCTAATGTCTATGTGTATTATTATTGAGGGGGGGCAGGTAACAAACAAAAGCTAATGGTCAAAATGGTCAGAGTTAGGAGGGGGAAAAAAAACCCAACAATGTGGGAAAGAACATCCTGCAATCGCAAGGGTCTTCTTCTTTTGAGAATAAACTCACCGAGAGACGAGATCCAGCTCTTGCTCTGGCAATGCTCTCCTTTTCCTTTTCAGATACCCTTCTCTGAACAGCCTGGAAGTTGTTTAAGGCTGCAGAGAAGTCATTCATGAGGCGTTCTTTCTGAAGTTTTTGCTGGCGCTAAGGAAATAAACAAGGACTTGAAATTTCATACTAACCCTAAATAATCTGGTTTTAATTCCCATTAAAAGCAAAATTATTCCTTCTAAAGATTTCCAACCAGGAAAATTACTATAAAACAGGCTCTTCCTTAAATTAATAAATTTGTTCTTTGCTAACTCAAATCCCTCATTAATGCCACAGACCAAGTCTGAATTCTCCTTCTTTCATTCTGACAAACCTGGGAACCTTGTGTCTTTTACCTTGTAAGGTAATCTCAGAGGCAAATGCAATTGAGAATTTTGGTTCCCTGGAGAATCTAAAAGCAGAACAAATAACTTTAGGCTCAGAATGAACCCCAAAAGAGATTGTTCTATGTTAAAATGTTAAAAATATTCATCCACACTGAGTTCAGAGCTTCCCTGAAAACTACAGAATCATTTTCCTTCATACTGTAGTGAAGTTTAAAATCTTGGAGAACCTGAAAACTATTACAGGCTATCTTTACTAAGCTTACTGATCCTATGTCTCAAAAAAACACATACTGAGAGAACCTGTTATGGGCTGAGAATACAGAAGTAAAAACTCATCCCTGACCTCAAACAGCTTACCAACTACTTATAGATAAGGGATATAGACACACAAGTTACAAATCAATATAAATAATTGCTATATCCAATTAGTACTACGGGAGTTTGGAGGCAGGTATAATCATTAAGAACTCAAGTGGCCAAAAAGGCTAGATAAAGTGGATACTGAAGGAAGAGAAAGGTCTGAATAAGCAGATGGAAGAAGTAAGGCAATTCCAAGTAGGAAAACAGTGTGAGCAAAGGCATGGCAGTAAAAATTTGAAGAGGCTCTATAAGGAGATAGTTTGACTGGAACCTAAGTTTTTTTCATGAGAATAGCTAAAAGAACTAGAAAGACAGAGAAGGGGCTGACCAGAGCAAGTTTTAAATGCCAAGCTAATGAGTTTGGGATTCCATCCCTAAAGAACAAAGAGCAACAAAGATTTCTGAGCAGGAAACATGATGGGTACAAAATGATAATTTAGAAAAAGTAGTCTGTGATGGTGTACAGGGTAGGATGGAAAAAAGAAACATGTCAAAAAGACTATTGCAATATTCTAGGTTAAAGGTTAGGAGTACATTGTATCCGTAAAGGGAACACAAAAGACATGAATTTAAGAAACATTATGATTTAATGACTGACTATGGGGCTACAAGGGAGCTAAAGTCAAGAATGACTCAAATTATCACACCTGGGAGAATTATGGTAATATTGAAAGCAAATTTATTTTATTTTTTTTTTAAAGATTTTATTTATTTGAGAGAGAGAGAGAGAGTGAGCACATGAGCAGGGTGGAGGGGCAGAGGGAGAGGGAGAAGCAGGCT